AGAGACTGTATGAAAGATAAAGTGTGGATAGTAAATGTGTGTGTTGGTGAGAAAAGAAAGGAAATACTATAGGACAGAGAAAGAGAAAAAGAGAGGATAAAGACAGAGATAGAGTGAGAGAGGAAGAGAAGTGTAGAGTAAGTGTAGAGAGAAAGAGAAAGAGAGAGAAAATAAAGTATAGGAAAGACAGAGAGTGGAGAAAGAGAGAGAGTGTGTGAGAGAGATACAGAGACAGAGAGAGTGTATGTGTGTGAGAAAAGAAGCGAGAGGCTATAGGAAAGAGAAAGCGAGAGGTGTGAAAGAGAGAGGAGAGGGAGAGAGAGAGAGAGAGAGAGAGAGAGAGAGAGAGAGAGAGCATGCGTGTATACGTACACGTGTGGGTGCGTGAGATTAAAGGAATCTCCTCCAGTCTCTCAGTAACACATGGAAGCTGCTGCTGAAGCCGAGAGGAATTTAGAACATGCAGACTAAACACTGAAGCAGAATCAGGTAAGACTCGAGATATAATACTGATCACACATAAATACATACAATCTATAATCCACAGTCTATTATACATATACAGCTTACAGTGTATGATACAGCGCTTTGTGCCTGCAGTGTAAATCAGGGAAGCTGGAGTTAAATCTCTCAAATGTTTTTGTGTTGATGCTCGAGCAGAACTGTGGTTTACATTCGTTCTTTGTTGTGTCTGTTGTGGATAGATAGATAGATAGATAGATAGATAGATAGAGATAGATAGATAGATAGATAGATATTTTCTTGGCTTTGATGTACAGTTCTAGGAAAAACCTTTAATTGTTATAGAATCCTTAAATTATGTGGAGATTCTTTAAGCTTTAAAACGTTCTTCACATGTGGTTCCTCTATGGCATCACTTAAAAGACCCTTTTTGGCATCTTTATTTTTAAACATATGTGAATAGACAGATAGACAGATTGATATACAGATAGACTGCTAAAATAAATGTTCTAAAGGTTGGTTGGGACATTCAGTTCTATCTATCAATCTATCTATCTATCTATATCTATCTATTTATATATATATATATATATATATATATATATATATATATATATAATCCTCACCTCATGTGGAGGTTCTTCATCAAACTTTAAAAAGGTTCTTCAAGTGTGGTTCTTCTATGGAATCACTCTAATGACAGACAGATAAAGACAGTCAGATAGATAGAATAGACAGACAGACAGACAGACAGACAGACAGATCGACAGACAGATAGATAGATAGATAGATAGATAGACAGATCAAAGTGAAGGACTGTATACATATTAAGTACCTTGTAGATTCTAGAGACTTTACATTGTTGTTGTTCATTGTTATTATTTTGTTGTTGTTGTTGTTGTTGTTGTGGTGGTGGTGATGTAGGAACGATGCTAACCGTCCCGTTTGAAGAAGCGCACGCCACGCGCGAGCTCAGGTTCGGCGCGTCCAACGTGGGGTCAAAAGAGACAACGGAGGAAGAGGAGGAGGATGAAGAGGAGCGGGACGGGAGGAGAGGACCACGCCGGAGGAGAGGAGGAGGAACTGGAGGAGGAGGAGCAGGGGGGTCTGGCTGTACAGAGCGGTCGCGCGCGCGGCGTCAGGAGGCGAACGCGCGTGAGCGCACGCGCATGCACGGCCTGAACGACGCGCTGGAGAGCCTGCGGCGCGTGGTGCCGTGCCACTCCAAGACGCAGAAGCTGTCCAAGATCGAGACGCTGCGCTTGGCCAGGAACTACATCCGGGCCCTGTCGGAGACGCTGCGCGCAGGCACGCGGCCCGACTTGCTGGCGTTCGCACGCACGCTCTGCGCGGGCCTCTCGCAGCCCACCACCAACCTGGTGGCGGGGTGCCTGCAGCTCAACGCCGCGCGCTTCCTCGCGGACCACGGCGGCGGAGCAGGAGCAGGAGAGGCGCACTATGACTCGGCCTACGGGGCCACGCCCATAGGCCACGCCCACCACGCAGGAAGCAGTACCGGTAGCGTGGACAGCGCCAAGCCGCTTCGACCCTACGGCTACTGCTCCTCGTCTGCTTACGAGCACGGGGGCGGCTACGAGCTGAGCAGCTGCGGCCCGAGACTCGAGCCCCCCCTCAGCTACGACGGCATCTTCTCGTTCAGGACGCGCGAGCACGAGGCCGCAACGGCGGCAGCAGCGGCGGCAGCTGCGGCGGCGGCGGCAGCGCGCGCCAAAGACTCTCAGTACACGCACAGCGGCGCGCTCACGCACTTTCCCTACGAGCTGCACCTGCACCAGACCTTCCAGAGCCAGGACGAGCTCAACACGGGCTTCCACAGCTGAACCGAGAGCACCTGGAACAGTTTACAGTTAAATGGAGAAATAATCGAATATTTCTTCATTAATCATCAGATTTAACGGTCAAAAAGAGACAATGTGGAAAACACTGTTTGACCAGTTAAAGAGTGAAACTTTAAACATATAAACACAGATAAAATGGACAAATGCAGTGGAAAGTGGAAAATACAGTTTTCGCAGAAAAGAAAAAAACATTACGAATATCACGATTAAAAAAACGAATATTTTCCTTGCAGTTTTAACAGTTAAAGAAGGAAACATTTCTTCAAAACTCACAGTTAATAAAACTCTCCCATATAGGCTTTTTTCCATATAGACTTTAAATGAAATGAAATGTTGTGGAAATCCCTCATTCAGTTCCACTCCAATAAACCTAATCTGATTTAAACTATCATAAAATAAGCATTTCACCTCATTTCCTTTCTTTTTTATTAATGTAAGCCTGTTTATTCATACTGGTTATTTATGATTTTTATTTATAAAAAGAGGAACAGAATTTCAGAGCCTGCTGAGTTTGTTGATGATATTTATCTGAACCCAATCAGCAATAAAGGGAATAAATCAGGAGCTATGCAACGCAGAGTGTCCTTCATATGGATTAAACACATGTAAATATGACTGGAGGATGTAAGATGTGGTTTAATATGTAAACAGACACAATCAGGACCGTTTCGGAATGAAGTGTGACGGTGGAGACGGTTTATCTGAGTCGATCAGAATCAGAGGATTTTAACTGAACTATTTAATAATGAATCAATTTGTCGATCTTCTTGAAGTTAAAGCCCTCAGAGTGAATGACGTGTGCGTGCGTGTGCGTGTGTGTGTATGTATGTGTGTGTGTGTGTGTGTGTGTGGAGAAAACTACTGCATTTGTATTTAAACCACCACCAGAATAAATCTCCAATATAATCTATTGAGTTATGTTGTACTTTTGGATTTATTTTCAGTATTTTAACTTCGATTACATAATAAGAGTCACTTTGCTGAGATCTAATAAAGGCAATGTGGGCGAAAAAACATTATACATTCACATTGTGCTTTCAGGCTGCATTCAACTTGTTTTTTTTCCTCTTTCCTCTTTCCTCTTATTTTTTTGTAAATCTTCTTAAGTAAGTGAGTTCTGTTTTTTACAGTGAACATTTATGGGTTTAAAAGGGAAAAAACTTCAATGTGTTGTATGTTATATTTGAACATACACACACACACACTCACACTCACACACACACATATATATATATAAAATTATTATATATATATATATATATAATTTTTTTAATAATTAAACAATTGTGCATTTTTACAATTATAATTTAAGACTAACTCGAGGTCAATACAGCACCATCTGTTTACAGTAAAATACATTTTAATCTCACTGTTTAACACTTCTACAACCAAATTAGTAATTATTACTATTAATTGATCTAATAAATCGCCTGTATTGTAGATGTGTGTTGTGTTCAGTGGAATTAATCGGACTGACTGAGTTCTTCTTTTGAGCTGGACACGAAAAATAATCAACAAATCAATTAGAGATTTTTGGAATTTAGCCTTTATTTATTTATATTTCATTCTGAGAGCTTCAGCACTTGCACAATAAATTCAATATCCAACATAGATAATAATAATAATAATAATAATAATAATAATAATAATACCAACAAAAGGGAATGAGAATTATTATTTTGCCCTTTATTTTTATTTACTTCACCAATCCTGCAGTATAAGCGAGGCCAGTACAAGTGAAATGATGGCAGATCAAAATCTGTTTTTTAATTTTTAACATCTAAATCTTATTTAACATCTTAATTTAACATTTATTCTAAAACATCGCTTACAACCTCACATATTTACTTATTTATCTATTTTTGATCTATTTATTCATTTTGATTTCGCGCGCGTGCGACTGTTAATGATATAATACGCAGAATTCACGGTTAAAAGATAATTTTACTCAAAGCGTTTACAGACGCTGCTCAACATTATTTTAAAATCCTTTTTTGTTCGCCTTAAATTCATTTATGACATCATTACATCCTCATGTCTTCGATCAGCGATAAAAGCACCTCATTAAAGTGAACAGACGATGTCCGTGAAAACTCCGCATTAAAGAAGATACAAATTACAAGAAAGAAACATTTACAACTTGTTTCCCTTTTTCATTTATCCATTTTTTTTACTTTTTGTGCCGTCCATTTTTTAAAGAGACTGAAAATCTACATGAGTAAAACGTTATCTCGTACTATTTATTATAATAGTAAACAGAGTCCAGTCAAATACAGACCTAAACATCACCTTAGAGGAACAAGTGTCAGTGAGTGTCCAGTTAAAAAAGCATAAGCTCAGATCCAGCAGGCCATGACTGTCTAGGTGCTGACAACCAAATAAATAAATAAATAAATAAATAAATAAATAAATAAATAGGCAAATAGATAGGACAGACACATTGTAATAAACTGGTCAATAAAAGTCTGAAAATCATAACAGTGGAAGTTGCTAATATAATGCAGTGAACTGACCTTAAATATAAAATAAACACAAACCTTAAACACAGCCTGCTGTTAAAAACTGATCCAAACAGCGACTCTAATAATTTACTTACAGGCATTTCTAGTTTTCATTAAAATCCATTACAGCAGTCTGACTGTCTTTGTCTTTGGGGGGATATAATGAGATTTGAACCAGCCATGTCTCTGCAGTGGTTCAGTTAGTGGTGGGCTCTGCCATGACTCTCTGCAGTGGGCATAGTGCCATGTGTCTGAGGGTGATGCCAGGATGTGTGTGTGTGTGTGTTTGTGCCTCTGAAGGAGCTGCAAGTCCTTTAACACACATCCCCTCTCTGCTCCTCTTCAGCTGAAAGAGAGAGAGAGACAGAGACAGACAGAGAGAGAGAGTCTAGGGGGGCTGGTGGAGTTGGTAGCTGTCCACGGGTCTTTTTCCTTGGTCTGGAGGTTAAAGTGATAGTTTATCCAAATGTCAAATTGTCAAATTTACACAATTTTCCTCTTATCCCAAATGTAGTCAATCAGCCAAAACAAAGTGTAAGAGATTAATGTAGCTAACAAGTAATGGAAGCGTATAGCTTCTACATTACAGACACTATATGGCCAGAAGTATAAGTATAACGCACCTCCTAATTATTGAGTTCAGGTGTTTCAGCCACACCCACTACTAACAGGTGGATAAAATCAAGAACTACATCTCTATAGACAAAAACTGGTATTAAAATTGGTCATAGTGATGAGATCAGTGACGTTTAAACATGGCACTGTCATGACACTTCACTATCTGTCAGTCTGACACACAAATCTAGGTTTGGCGGATGCCATGAGAACACTATCCACCGGACTCCATAATGCCTACAGTAAAGTTTGGTGGGGGTGGGATAATCATCTCGGGCTGTTTGTCAGCATTTGGGCCCCTTTAGTTCCAGTGAAGGGTAATGTTAATGCTACAGTATACAAAGACATTTATATGCTTCCAACAGTTTGGGAAAGACCCTTTCCTGTTCCAGCATGACTGTACTCCAGTGCACAAAGTGAGTTCCATAACGACATGGTTTGACCAGTTTGACGTGGAGGAACTCCAGTGGCCTCCACAGAGCCCTGACCTCAACCCCACTGAACACCTATAGCATGATTCGGGACGTCGATTGTGAATCAGGCCTTCTCGTCTAACATCATTGCCTGACCTCACAAGTGCTCTTTTGACTGAATAAGCAGAAATTCCCACATACACACTCCAAAATCTTGTAGAAAGCCTTCTCAGAAGAGTGGATACTGTTATAGCCAGAAAAAGGGTGGCCAACTCCATATTAATGCACATAGTTTCTGAATGGGATGTCCAACAAGCTCTTATGGGTGTTATGGTCAGGTGTCTACATACCTTTGGTTATATAGTGTATTTTGCATCATACAAACAAATTGCATTACTTATTGTTATTTACAAAATAGACAAAAGTACACAGCATAGTTAAAACACTAGTAACAGCCACCTTGAAGGCTGAATTCTGTCTGTACTTTGTCTGTTTTTATAGTTAACACAAGCCAAATTAACAAGTCTGTGTGATGACTTAACAAACCAATGCAGTTTAATGCAAGTGTGTGGTATGATTTAGTCATGTCGTTCGAACGTGGCTAAACTTGTGGCTATACATTTCAATTGCTTGTTAGCTACATTAGCCTTGTAGCTCAAATGCAAAACTAAAGATGGAAACTTCAGACACCAAAGTTGTCTTTACTTAATGACTACATGTGCAGTAAGGAGGAAACGTGGTTAATTTGATTGTTGGTGAAATCTTCGCTTTAATGTTTCTCTCTCTCTCTCTCTCTCTCTCTCTCTCTCTCTCTCTCTCACTCACTCTCTCTCTCTCTGTCACTCATTACATGAAGGGAAAGTTGAAGAGAGCATATGGCCACATGGGAGGAAGAGGTGAGAGAAAAAAAAAAAAACAGCAAATTCAGTACGTGCACTGAAAAAGCTCATTCTTATATGTCTCTCTATATATGTGCTACTAAGCAACACAGTACAGTACAGCTAAGCTTAATACATAATACATGTAGCATATAAGCACATACTGTACATATGCACAGCAATTATTCAAATGGAAACAATTAACAGTGATGCATAATGTGTTGACACAGTGTTAATAAAGTTATTAAATATAAATTAAACCTATTATCCGTTAAGGAGAAGTAACAATATAAGCAAAAATCAAGACAGAACTCTTTATTCACATATACAGGTGCTAAGCAACAGCTATACTAGACCACTACTAATGCACACATAATTAATTTGTCTTTAACATTAGATGTTCTAATATGATAAAGATCTGTTGTAATACTACAAGACTTTCTGCAGGATTTGTAGGATAATTTATAGTAAAATCAGATAATTAAGTTTACTGTAAGATAGTACACAAGTACTATAGATTACTGTAAGACAGTCATACAGGAATATTACACAAACATGAACGTATTACAGACTACTGTAGGTTTATACTGCACTACAGAATTCATACTTTCTTATTACAGAAATGTTGTAGCATTGTATGCAAAGGTTTGGGCACCCTGGGCTTATTTGCTGAATATAACATATTGTTACAAAGGTTATGGCTTATTTAATATTTTATGTTTTATTTTTCCAACATGTTAAACTCAGCAAGCAAATTGAAATTGAGCACTAA